GGGGGGGGGGGGGTCACCGTGCTAACCGTGAGTTACGTCACGAGACTTCCTCGCAAACTCCCACCACGTTATAAATATTACCGTGAATGCGGTGCTTAAACTTTGAGAAACTACGGGGGCCCCTTTCCGCCCGTGCTTCTTTAAACTTAGCCCGCTCCTGGCAGCCCTACGCGACGAGGCTGCGCGAGCTATACCCAGCGTGTATGCGTCATCATTAATACGACGGTTATCGCGTGAGAGATACGTGAAGCGCCGTTATACGGCTTCCCGTGAATATCCCATGTTACAGTGACCATGAATCAAACGAAACAAATAAACTCCAGAGGGTTGCCGCGATACCGAGATTAAATAAAACTAAATATCTGTAACGACCGACCGTGTACGGCAAAGCGAGCTACGTCGGTTAGTTCCACGATTCGCCGCTGTTCGAGCAATAGCGCGGCATCCAGATCCCCTCGGAAACGTATACCTATATATATATCCTATGGGCAGAGCTATATTATTTCGTGATCCAAGTGTCTTTTTATGGGGGGGGGGAAAAAAAATATCAAAGTCCCAGAGAAAAATTTCTCATATTATATATATATATATATAGCGACCAAAGTTCCAGTCGAGATTTATTATCGGTGGTGATGGGGTAGGATAAAGTTTATAATGATAACATTGTCAACGCTAAAGACAACAAACACCTCAGTCGCCACCCTTGTGGAAAATCCCTCAGGAGATTCGTCCAAGATTTCCCCTCCCGTCCCAGAAACGTATATACGACTCGCGGAATGTATTAAAGCACCCTTACTCCCCCGGAGGGGAGGGCCACGTAAGTTACCGCATTAATACACTCACCCGCACGAATTCCACTGCGTGACGTCGGAGCGAAGCGGAAAAGACAAGCACTGGGTCAGACAAGACGGCACCGCCGAAACGGACTGCGGCTCGAAGGGGTAGGAGAATAGTATTAAAGAGGATGAAGCTTACGAGCTTCCGTATCTCGCTCGCTCGGCTTATTCCTTTCGTTATGCCCATTTCGCGTGGCAGCCTCGTTACATTTAGTTTTCGTTTCCCGACGCTAACTTTGACTTCGGAAGCTTCGAAGCTTTTTCCCGCAGGAAACTCTTCGAATAACCACCGGGCTCCC